AGTGTATATATTTTAAGTGATTAGCAGAACTGTGTGTAATTAAATATAAATTTTTGTAAAAAATATTTAATATATTTATTTAAATTTGGTATATTATATTTATAATGTACATTTTTAGAATTTACAGATTTTATCATATTTATAAATTATCACTTAATTATAATATTTCAAAAATAAAAAATAGTAAATATTAGTGTTAAAAATGTAAAATTTACAATTTAATATAAACATAATTTTTTATGTTATTTAAATAAAATAAATTAATTATATAAAATAATTTTAAACTATTGAAATATTTTAAAGCCTAATGCTCTGAAAAACCTCCATATATATGAAAACATAGAATAAAGAGAATTTAGAAGAGCATTTGCATCTTCTAAATGTTTTCCTAAATGCTCTATTAACAAAAGTTGATTGGATTATTATGAAACGTTATGCCCATGAATATACACTACCAATCAAACTCAAAGTGTTTGCAATCTTGATATTACTTATCTAAATTTTGCAGGCACTCGACTTGTCTTATTGATTTCCGAATTCGCAGTTTAGTTTTTCTACCAAATGGTTTTCACAATTTTAGCTAACCAAACATTTATTAATTAGATCGTGAGTTATAAGATGCAGAGCCTTGCCCAGAGTTTCAGAGACCATATGAAATATTAAAAAAATCTCAATTAACTTATCATCTCTCAAATTCATATAGAATCAATTTGGTTTATATATAAAAAATAATAACTATTATTTTTATTGTGTTGTTAAATTTTTTTTTAGTTATTAGTTTTTTAACATAGTTATTAATTTTTATAAATAAATGTTTTTCTATTACTAATAATTTATGAATTTAATTTAAAAAAAAATTTCATTTTTTTTTTTAAAATAGACCTGTAGACAAATGTTTCTTTTTTTTTGTTCATATGCACAACTCTGATAAGATGTATACCATTTATCAGAAATTTCTTCTTTTTTCCTGTTCGGATTCCAACTGAACGTTCACATTCTTTCTAAAGTTGATGATTGAACTAATCGTTCTTTGCACTCGTCTTAGCGATCCACTCAAACTGAACATATTTTTTCTTCTTTATTTTTTTTTTGTTTAAGAAAAATGAAGATGTTACATAGCCAATTTAAGGCTTGAAAAGCTCTAAAACTTAGATTTGATTGCCTCCACATTGGGTTTGTAGTATTCGTGTAGCTTGGTTTGAATCTCGACACAATTTTTTATCACACAATCTTGGTTTTATCAAATAATGCGGTAAAAAACTTGCTTATCTCCTTTGCATGTAGAGATGGAAGCTCTTATATGAGCAATGCATTGTATGCTAGAGAATCAAAGGATGTCAGTAGCATTTGCAATAGACATTTCAGAAGTAGTGAAGATGGTGTCTACACCCGAAGAATGGCCAGCTTTTGCTTTACACCTGGACACTGGAGGAGATTGATGATGCTGCTAGGGGTTGAATTTGCGGCTTCATGTTTTAAATTTATAACCCTAGATATCTTCAAGTGCACAGCAGTGCGTTGTAGTACTTTGGATATCAATCCACAGAGAATCCACGCTTTACCTGCAGAACTTTAGAACCAGAATTAGTAAATGAAGTCTAAGACGAAAAACAGGGTTTTGGATAGGTTGTCACGATTTCTAAAATGTATTTTAAAAAGGGATTTGAAAAGGGATTGAAAAGGGTTTTAAAAAGGATTTTAAAAAAGGTTTTAAAAATGGTTTTAAAACTAGAAGTGAATAAATCGATAATAAGTCTAAAGGATGAACAAAACTCTTAATATCGATCTTCGTAAATTCTTAGAACTCAACTATCTCTCTCAACTCTGACCAGTATGTTTCCACTCTGGCCCTGGAAAAGAAAGGATGTAGTATGCTTAAGACTCCTTAACATTTACATCTCTCCCATAGGTAGGTTTCCACTCCTATGGTCGATCTGCTCTTCTCAAACTAGATCTGGCCCTGGATGAATACTTTCGCAACACCAAGGACCGATCAGTCTCTAGTTTGTGACGATCCATGCTTTAAGTATAAGTTTAGAAGAAAGATTTCTAGAATTTGGCTTTGGTTTATCTCGCGAAGATCCCTACCGAACATAGTCGATTCCCTTCGATCGAGCCTTTAAACTCATACTTCATCATTCAAAAACGTGCATAAAGTTATATAGTTAGGGTTTTGGATATACACAAATTTGTACAGGCGATCACTGATATGTAGGAGGTTTGTAAGTTATATATTATCTTTTAAAATGATATTTTTTTAATATTCTCTGGTTTTAACAATACTAACTATCATTTATTTATATAATTTTTTTTATAATGGTAAAAAGCTTAGATCTTATATAAATATTTAATATTTTGAAGAGTATTTGTTGTTATTATGATATGTATGGTTAATAAACTCATAAATTTTGATAGTTTGATAATAGTACTTTTGGAAAAACTTATCACTTTATCAACAAACATCATTATGGTTTTGTACTCGATTTCCTTTATGTTTAATAAAAATATCAATTTTCGACAATCAGAATAACCATTAATGGAAAAAGAGAAAGAGTATCAATTCTGGAGCAGAAGCAAACCAAAGTGTCATTAAAACAAACCATTTAATTAGTATAAGTCTAAAACAAAACAAATAAAATTGTTTCCTCACATTCTGAAAGACGGTCTTGTATACAACGTTCAAAGTATTGGTTTGTGGCTTATCCTTAGTATCCGTTATCAGAATCTTCAAACCAGCTCTCGAAGTAACAAGTGATATAGCCACATAAAGTTGTCCATGGGAAAAACAGATTTTGGTAAATACAGTACAACCTTTTGCAAAGTCTTTCCTTGTCTTTTATTGATGGTCATTGCATAAACGATGGCTACTGGGAATTGTCTACGCCTCACTCTGAAAGGAAACCCTGTCTCGCTGGGGGAAACAAACATTCGTGGGATCATGACCTTTTGACCAATATACTCACCAGTTATGTGGCTAGCTTGAATAACATGTTTGGCTAATTGTATTACCAAGAGTCTTGTTTCATTCCATAAATTTCCAAAGCAACATAATAGGTGTTCCTATTTTCAATTTCAATTCAAAGTTCGGCATTTCTGAGATCTTAATAGTATTAAGATATTTTTGGGTGTAGAATTTTTCGTCAATCTTTCCCTTATCAGAAGTATCAATATTTTCCAAGCTAAAATATGTATGTTCCTCACCTAGGAAAATATTAAACAAAGTTCACTAAGTATAATTTAAAATAACAATATGAAGCTTATGTGTAAGATCATATTTCTATATGTATAAAGTGTTAAATATGTTTATCTTGTATTTCCATGTATTCATTTATTATTCTCATGTCGGCATTTCTCACCATACACTTCTTTTACTATCTTTTTAACAGGATCGACACATTCTTTTATTAGTAAATCGTCAGGGATTTCAATTTTTTCTTCATCGTTGTTAGTCAAATTAATTTTGCCATCACCTAGGTCCAAAATCGACTTCGAAAAAGACTCTAGCTCATTAACGCGATCAACCGTACAACTGTCCCATAGAGTAGAAGAATTTATGGTAGCCATAAAAGTTATCCAATCGATTCATGTGTCTCTTTGTTAGAAACCCCCCCCCCCCCATCGAATTTGTAATCCAAACCCGATCGTGAGTTACAGCTACTCAAGCAACAGTCGTGCGATGTTTCACCTCTTTGAGTAAATAACCATGCCTCGTAACCCTTCTCCACAACACTCGCTTTACAAAGAATTATTACTTGGGTTATTAAATATTTCTATATTTTTTCATGTTTAGTAAACCATCATCTATATTACTTTAATTTCATGTTCATGTTTAATAAATAATATAAGTGTTAAGATGAAACAATACCTTCCATCTCGGAGAAGACGTGAATAACGTTGAAAGATCGCAGTGGATCACCTAAAGGATGAAAATGGTCTCTGTCAAAGCGAAACACAGGGACACCTAGCAAGGAAATAGCATGTAAGTTTTTTTTTACAATTTTTGGAAGCAGCTTAATAAAATAAAGTTAGGTATCTTACCCGTTTTTAAAGCGGGCATCCATGATTCTGGAAAAGACGACTAAGGTAGAGGAGAATCAGCATGGATGGATATAAAGTGAGAGAACCATTGCTAATTTAAAATTCTGCTTGAGCAAAGGAAGACTAATACCCAAATTTGTAGGAAGTCTAATATATATATATATATTAGGGTTTAGTATTAAAGTAATATATATTAGGTTTTTGCATTAAAATTTGGCGGCCTAAAAATATAACTTACATTATTAGGGTTCTGTTAAATGATAATTAACATTATTCTAGATTGAGTAAATTTTAATTATTATCTTTAATAATTTATTTAAGATATCGTATATTTTAAATTATATTGGAAATTATTAACATTTCTCGATGGAACAGTTTTATGTGGATGATTAAATTATTTTTATATAGGATATTATTGGTGTTATACTTAAAGCCTATTTATGTATTTATGGAATATCATACATTTTTATCTTTTTTTTTCACGACGAAAGGCTTATTTTTAAAGCATGTTTAACAAACGAAGTGTTTAATAAGTCGAATGTGTTTAGTATATTTATATAAATGTTTTCACTAAATGCAAACATGCAGACATTAAATTTAAATATACTGAAAGTCAGTCATCTTTAAATAAAATGTTTAATTATTAATTATTTTATTGTATAGAACAAATCTTAGAAATAATAATCCTTTGGAATAGTGATTATATTGAATAATATGTTTGGGAATATAAAAGGTAAAACCTAAATAATAAAACCCAAGCATAAATAAAGCAATCCTTATGAAGTATATGACCTAGATAATAAAATTTACGCAGAAGAAATTAGAAATATAAAAATTAAAACCCTGATGTAATAATATTTTTGCTAATTAAAATCATGCTTTGTGTCTCTTGCTAACTTTGTCTTTTTTCTTCACTTCCGGAGTCTGAATTTCCCTTGAGGCATTATGGGCCGATCGTTTTCTCAGAGTTGATGATTCTGTGGCATCCAAATATCCAATGAGGAATGGTTGGAGACTTGGTTATTATCAGCCTAGTATTAACAATTCATTAAAACATGTTAAGTTTAGTAAGATATTAAGGATGTACCAAAGTATAATATAATACCACGAGAAGCCAAATTGCTACGCACCTTTGACGAGTCATTCCTTACAAATTTATCAACAAACTTCTCATCATCGACAACAATTTCAACCTTGTAAGTGACTCTCCTAGTCTTTAGATTGTCGTTAGATGTCAAAATCTTTAAAAGCATCAACTTTCCCACCAGATTTGATAATGTTGATGGTACTTCCGAAGCTGGTTTCTAAGTGAATACGAAGAATATTGTTCAGTGAATTTGAAAGATAAATATCATAACAGAAGAAAGGTAATAACTAAGAGATCAATATAAGGTTTTTTTGGGTTTTCAAAATTACCAAAGTAACCTCCTCAGCCAAAGCATCTGCTGATCGTCGAAGGAATGGGCGTGCCACATGATCAAACAATAAAAATCGAAGTTCTTCGTCACTCTCATTGGTGACACGGAGTACCAGTATGTACCTACAAAACACGAACCAGATTTAAAGAGAAGATAATATTATGTATAGAAATAGTGTAAAGTGGTAAAAGTAGGGATGTACTTGGCTTCAACACGAAAGAAAACTTCATCACAAGCGGAACAATGAAAAAGAGGAGGACTCTCATCATCTAGATCACCATTTTCAGGGTCTTCTTCATATGGCTGCACTACTTTATTGCAAGTACTGCAAGCAATGTAATACCAAAGTGGATTATACTCTACGGAGACGACCTTAGCTGCGAGTACACATTTCCCAATCTGTTTTTATCGAAGAGAATAGTTAGCATCCACACTTTTCTTAAAATAACAATTTTAGGTAGTTGTTATGAAATATTAAATATGGTTTTAAAATTTTGATATCAATACTTCTGTAGAGTAAATAACTCCATTAATCGTTTTTCTCGGATTATCACGAAAGAATTCGTCAAACCAAGAATCTGTTTGTGATGTCTGAGTTGCTGATATATCTTCGTGGCCAATAACCAATCTGTCTTTCAGAATTCTATATTTTTAAGAAAAGGTGATTTTAAAATCTATATGTAAACTAAATAATGAGAACTATAGTAGACCAAATATGGAAGAAATAGGTAATTATAGACATACAATTATCTGAATTCATCATACTGCTTTCCTTAAGGATAAAAAATAAATCATATGGCGTTGAACGCGTTTGAAACGCTATAATCACCCAAGTATTTTAAAAATTGTGACTATTATGACATAGTTGTTAAAGTATAGACAAAAGTAAACATATACTGCAGTTGATAAATGTATACCTTTCCACTCGTTCACACATGCAAAGCTAATTAGACAAATAACTTCTGGAGCAGTAGTGTTCTTTTCAATATAATCAATAAATTGATGTCATGTCAAAACGTCGATCTCTATACCGATGAATATGAATTAAAGTTAATTATGAAATAAACAGACGTTATATATGAAATAAACAAACGTTTGTACAGTTCAAGGTACTCACATGGCATCACGTAGGATTACATCTAATTTCTTTGAGGGTTTTCCATGAGATACGACATCAGTAAGAGATCCAACGTTCACCACTTCGCCAAGCACATCTAAATTAATTAATAATAAAAGATGTTACAATTTTCAAAACAATTAGACATTCAAATAATAAAAGAAAGATTTACTAAATAATTACATATGAGAACTTCGTCGGTATGATTTCCAGATGTAACATCAGAGAATTTAGCCAAATAGTTATTCAAAGCATAGATCAACCTCCAAAACCAAAAACAATGAAGCATAGATCAACCTACAAAACCAAAAACAAACGTCATGAACTGAATAACTTTAACTGATCATGAACTGAATCCAAACGTCATAAAAAACAAAAGCGTAGATCAACCTAAAAAACAAAAAAAAAAAAAAATCTTTGAACAATAAACAATGAAGAACAACAACACACAAAAACCTAGCTAAAAGAGAACTAAAGAAATTAAAAATGCTACAAAGACGATGAGAGTTACCAAGAACACAACAACATCGTAGTAAAACTGGAAGTTTCGTGATAACTTAAATGCAGCCGATAAAAATTATATTTATATATGGTAAAACAAAGCTAGAGTTTTGTTTTATTTCACAAAACCCTAAACTAATTGACCTCTAAGGTTAAATTATGAATCGTATACAACCAAAGGGCTTTAGCCCATTCCAAGTTGCTAAGAAACTACAAACCATAAGCCATAGGCCCATAGCCCAATTAGTTTTATAGAAATCGCTACATTAGATTAAACAACAAGTAGGACTAATAATCGACTAATGAGAATTAATTAAAACGCCACATAACATTTTTTATTAATGACAGAAGGACTATCGCTATGGAGACGACACCTAAGATTTTTGACCTTGCAAATAATAGTATAGATCGTATACAACCAAAGGGCTTTAGCCCATTCCAAGTTGCTAATAAACTACAAACCATAAGCCATAGGCCCATAGCCCAATTAGTTTTATAGAAGTCGCTACATTAGATTAAACAAAAAGTAGAACTAATGATCGATTAATGAGAATTAATTAAAACACCACATAACATTTTTTATTAATGACAGAAGGACTATCGCTATAGAGATGACACCTAAGATTTGAGGGTTTGTACAGTTATATATGAAATTATGAAATAAACAGACGTTATATATGAAATAAACAAACGTTTGTACAGTTCAAGGTACTCACATGGCATCACGTAGGATTACATCTAATTTCTTTGAGGGTTTTCCATGAGATACGACATCAGTAGGAGATCCAACGTTCACCACTTCGCCAAGCACATCTAAATTAATTAATAATAAAAGATGATTACAATTTTCAAAACAATTAGACATTCAAATAATAAAAGAAAGATTTACTAAATAATTACATATGAGAACTTCGTCGGTATGATTTCCAGATGTAACATCAGAGAATTTAGCCAAATAGTTATTCAAAGCATAGATCAACCTCCAAAACCAAAAACAATGAAGCATAGATCAACCTACAAAACCAAAAACAAACGTCATGAACTGAATAACTTTAACTGATCATGAACTGAATCCAAACGTCATGAAAAACAAAAGCGTAGATCAACCTAAAAAACCAAAAAAAAAAAATCTTTGAACAATAAACAATGAAGAACAACAACACACAAAAACCTCGTTAAAAGAGAACTAAAGAAATTAAAAATGCTACAAAGACGATGAGAGTTACCAAGAACACAACAACATCGTAGTAAAACTGGAAGTTTCGTGATAACTTAAATGCAGCCGATAAAAATTATATTTATATATGGTAAAACAAAGCTAGAGTTTTGTTTTATTTCACAAAACCCTAAACTAATCAACCTCTAAGGTTAAATTATGAATCGTATACAACCAAAGGGCTTTAGCCCATTCCAAGTTGCTAAGAAACTACAAACCATAAGCCATAGGCCCATAGCCCAATTAGTTTTATAGAAATCGCTACATTAGATTAAACAACAAGTAGGACTAATAATCGACTAATGAGAATTAATTAAAACGCCACATAACATTTTTTATTAATGACAGAAGGACTATCGCTATGGAGACGACACTTAAGATTTTTGACCTTGCAAATTATAGTATAGATCGTATACAACCAAATGGCTTTAGCCCATTCCAAGTTGCTAATAAACTACAAACCATAAGCCATAGGCCCATAGCCCAATTAGTTTTATAGAAGTCGCTACATTAGATTAAACAACAAGTAGGACTAATGATCGACTAATGAGAATTAATTAAAACACCACATAACATTTTTTATTAATGACAGAAGGACTATCGCTATGGAGACGACACCTAAGATTTGAGGGTTTGTACAGTTATATATGAAATTATGAAATAAACAGACATTATATATGAAATAAACAAACGTTTGTACAGTTCAAGGTACTCACATGGCATCACGTAGGATTACATCTAATTTCTTTGAGGGTTTTCCATGAGATACGACATCAGTAAGAGATCCAACGTTCACCACTTCGCCAAGCACATCTAAATTAATTAATAATAAAAGATGATTACAATTTTTAAAACAATTAGACATTCAAATAATAAAAGAAAGATTTACTAAATAATTACATATGAGAACTTCGTCGGTATGATTTTCAGATGTAACATCAGAGAATTTAGCCAAATAGTTATTCAAAGCATAGATCAACCTCCAAAACCAAAAACAATGAAGCATAGATCAACCTACAAAACCAAAAACAAACGTCATGAACTGAATAACTTTAACTGATCATGAACTGAATCCAAACGTCATGAAAAACAAAAGCGTAGATCAACCTAAAAAACCAAAAAAAAAAAAATCTTTGAACAATAAACAATGAAGAACAACAACACACAAAAACCTAGCTAAAAGAGAACTAAAGAAATTAAAAATGCTACAAAGACGATGAGAGTTACCAAGAACACAACAACATCGTAGTAAAACTGGAAGTTTCGTGATAACTTAAATGCAGCCGATAAAAATTATATTTATATATGGTAAAACAAAGCTAGAGTTTTGTTTTATTTCACAAAACCCTAAACTAATCGACCTTTAAGGTTAAATTATGAATCGTATACAACCTAAGGGCTTTAGCCCATTCCAAGTTGCTAAGAAACTATAAACCATAAGCCATAGGCCCATAGCCCAATTAGTTTTATAGAAGTCGCTACATTAGATTAAACAACAAGTAGGACTAATAATCGACTAATGAGAATTAATTAAAACGTCACATAACATTTTTTATTAATGACAGAAGGACTATCGCTATGGAGACGACACCTAAGATTTTTGACCTTGCAAATAATAGTATAGATCGTATACAACCAAATAGCTTTAGCCCATTCCAAGTTGCTAAGAAACTACAAACCATAAGCCATAGGCCCATAGCCCAATTAGTTTTATAGAAGTCGCTACATTAGATTAAACAACAAGTAGGACTAATGATCGACTAATGAGAATTAATTAAAACGCCACATAATATTTTTTATTAATGACAGAAGGACTATCGCTATGGAGACGACACCTAAGATTTTTTGACCTTGCAAATAATAGTATAGATATTTTAGAATCAAAAATAGAAAAATACATTGGAGATGGTCGTATATCCTTACTTTTGATTGATTTGCTAAATGTAATCTGTTGACTGTATCTTAATAATGAAAGATGACGTAAAATATTATCTTGAACCTTAGGAAAGTAAGGAGTCATAAGCAAACAAGAATTATAAAGATATATACTTCTAATTGTTTTTGGTATTTTTTTTTGTTTTGTTTTATAATAGTTCTGGTATCTTTATTTTCATGTTAATGTTTTAGTTTGGTGTATTATCAATTTGACTTTTGAGGTCTTGTTACTGATGTTCAATAAAAAAAAGGTCTTATTACTAATTGTTATTTTTAATATTAATTTAGGAAAGAAATAGCTGCATTTGAGTTAATTAAAAAGAAACATGTTCTTAGATTGGTGAAAATAGAGGATCAAGCTCCACGAATTGTAAAAAAATAACTAAATTCTACCCCGAGCATCCGCACAAGAACTATTTATAATTTATCAAATTTTGTAAGATAATATGTGTTTTTGTTTCGTGAGGATATCACTTTCTAATTAGTGATATATATATATATATATATATATATTTTGTCTTCTATTCATATATAATTTGTTTCTATTGTTTTATTTTTAGAAAAACATTATTCTAACTTATTCGTTCATTTTAATCTGAAAGTACAACGATTATAAAAATGTCCTTATAACATGTCTATCTATATTAATCCGAAAAGAACCATGATTATTAAAACATAATTATAACTTGTTCATTCATATTATTTCTATATTTTATATATTTTTAAGTTTGGATATTAAAAAATTTAGAATTATTTAATAATAAAGTAATAAGTTATTTTTTATTGAAAATATTACTTAAATTTAAATATTTAAATTAAATCTAAATAAATATCAGATTTATTATTTTTGTAAAATATAATAATAACTTATTTTATGATTTTCGATAAATAATATAACTTAAATACTAAATTCAAGTTTAAATATTTGAATTTATTTTTTTAAAAAATAAATTAAAAAAATTATTTTATCAATATTATATTAAATTAATTTGTTTGGTAACATAAATAGAAGTTATCGAAAAACAAAATAGTAGAAAACTAAGTAAAATCTGTTTGGACACAAAACATGCTTCCATTTTAATAGTATAGATTCATATTGATTTCAGATTTTCTCTTCGATTATAAATACTATTAAATGTTCAGTTTAGAATAAATTAATAAAAAATAAAAATAAAATATTATATATAAAAAAAAATTTAAAAATTTAACATTAAACTCAGTTGGCGGAAACAGTTTTATGGGAGAGGGTCAATTGATCCATGTGAAATCCAGAAATATATATATATATATATATATTCATATTTTTTAAAAAAAAAAGATAAAATGCATGATCCCTGTAAAATTTGCTCATAATATATTATAAATTAAAATTAACCTTATAAATTTGTTGGTTAGCTCTGCCACTGATCGAACTTATTCAGTGTTTAGGCTCGTCAACTAGTTTCTTGTACATTTTTGTTTAAACCTTTATTAAACCGTTACAAGTCATGACACTGAATCATACAAATTTTAAAAGAAATTACAAGTTGTGAAAAAAGTTAAGATACATCAGGTGCACCATGTACAATCAAATCTTCCGCTTTTACTGAAGTAGACAAAATGATGTAACTGTCTAGCCAGGACCATCTCGTTTTCCACGTCTTTGATTTCCTCGTTCAGAACCGCCAATGTGGTTTGCCAATCCACTTCTTTCACATAAACTGCTTTCAAATTGAGTCTGTACAGAAAAAAAAAACTTGGGTTTAGTCCTGATTCACTTCTGATCTCTTTTATGTTGGATAAGCTTCAATAGCTTAAGGCCCAAGACATCCTAATCTAAATAGGATTAGGATAAGATAGGCCAACTAGAATTAGGAGTTATCTAGTTCTAGGAAAATAGGATTAGAAAAAGGAAATTCTAAAACCTATATATATATGTTTATCGAGTTTGTGATAAACATATAAGAGAACATTGATGTTTAGTTTTGAGCTAAGTTTCTAAACATAATAAAGAGAGCATATTCTTTATACAAGTGTTTCTTTCTTAAGCAACTTTATTGTGGTATCAGAGCGAATACAATTGACGACAAAGAAGCAGCATAGACG